CAAATAAATTTTTTCCCCTGCTATTTCGCGTGGGTTCGAATCCTAGTAAATATAATAGAAAACAACACAAACTATTTTTCAATATTGTTTTATCTTCAAAATAATTTTTAATCTAAAACATGTGCGTATGCGCGGATATTCACCTGTATATAGATAAAACTCTAAAAAACTTAAATTTTCTAGTCTAACATTAATTAATCTCTCCGGAATAAACAATTTTCCATTCAAATCATAAGTTTCATCAAAACATAAGTTTTATATTCATGGTTTTTCATTACTATTTATATTAAATTAGTGATTTTTATATTTTATCTATATATAATAGCAAACTCAAACAAATAAATATTTTTATTGTGCCTTCTCGAAAAACTGTCTTGTATTTATAGGTTTATACTAGAGTCAAGTTTCAAAAAACGCATTATAGTTATTTTGAAGGGTTACATCTNCTTGAAAAAATCACTTTGTGGTTATTTTTAAGAGTTGCATCTTTTCGGTTAAACCGCTTTGTCATAAATTGCATCTTTTCGTTGTAACTGTTTTGTCAAAAATTGTGTCTTTTTATTATAATTATTTTGTCAGAAGTTGTGTCTTTTCGAAAATAACCCCCTTTTGGTTTTCTATAATAGTTGCGTCTTTTCGAAAATAAATATTTTTGGGTTGTGATTTTTTCGTAAAAAAAAACCGTTAAGTAGTAATTTTTTAATAACCGCTTTATGGTTATCGTTAAGAGTTGTGTCTTTTCGGACAAAATCGTTTAGCATTTTAGTTTTTCTGTTTTTTCAAAAAACCGCATTATGTTTGTTTTGAAGGGTTGCATCTTCTTGAAAAAACCGCTTTATGGTTATTTATAAGAGTTGCAGCTTTTCCCTAAAATCGCTTTGTCAAGAGTTGCATCTTTTCGTTGTAACCGTTTAGTCAACAGTTGTGTCTTTTAATTATAAATATTTTGTCAAAGTTGCGTCTTTTCGAAAATAACCGATTTTTGGTTTTCATTAAAAGTTGCATCTTTTCGAAAATGAATATTTTTGGGTTGTGATTTTTTGTAAAAAAAACACGTTAAGTAGTTATTTTCGAAGTAACCGTTTTATGGTTATTGTTAAGAATTGCGTCTTTTCAGAAAGCTTA